AGTTACATTATCGACACGACGTAGTTGCGAACAACCAATTGCTACTATTTAGTTCGTACGGCGCTCGCTGGCGCTACGAGCAACCGCCCCGCTTGCCCTCCGATCCCCGCGCCTACTCCGCGAATTTTTGACGCCGTCTGTACCTCGCGCAGCGCGCGCGCACTTCGTTTGCGCATATACTTGCGCGAGGCACTACCGTGCCTCTTGATGTACCTTGGAGTAATATCTGTTGGGAATAATTATTAATTTAAGTCTGTTCAAACTATAATATACTAAGTATAGTAGAGTGCAAATATATAAATAGGTAGCGCTGTGTTTTGTGCAAAAGAGAAGCGCAGTTAATGTTTTGTTATATCGTTTCTCATTGTTTTTGCGTTTCGGTTTTGTCTTCGTCTGTCTGCGAGTGCGCCGCCATGAATTAACATCTTTGCATTTCTCTGTTCAAATAAACTGTTTAATTAATAGCCGAGTGTGTACCTCTGACTTCTCTTTAGTAAAATCTAAAACAATATCAAATCTTCTTTACAGTTAATTTATTTGTTAATATATCTGTTAATATATCTGTCAAGTTACTTATATGTAACGAGACACTTAAATATCCTCCTGAAGACTTAAGATCTGTAATAATTGGAGAAGTCTATTGTTCTCCGACCGGAGGACATCGCGGAGTAAATAAAACATATAATCGTATTAAATATAAATATTGTTGAGAAAATTTAAAATTAGATGTCCAACGCTACATACAACAGTGTTTATAATGTCAAATTGAAAAAAGCTAGTCAGGATAAAAATAAAACAACTTATGATAATTACTGATACGCCCGGCTCGGCTTTCGATAAAGTCGTGATAGATATCGTAGGACCTCTGCCGGAAACTGAGAAGAAAAATATATGTATATTAACTCTACAAGACCAGTTAACAAAGTTTTGTACGAAAATACCGCTCCCGGACCGGCCCAGTGGTCTCGTTGCCTGAGTGCAGGGGCTGCGAACCGGAGGTCCCGAGTTCGAATCCGCTCACCACCTAAGGATTTTTTCCGGCCGGTCCCTTTCAATCGAGTGTATCGATTGATTGGCGAACAGAATCGAGACTCCAAAAATTAATTCGAGTGTAATCTCGAATTTAATCATCTTCCCACAAGGCGATCAGAGTCACAACATCTCGAACACGAGCCCGACACAAATGGGCACGCCCACTGTGAAAGAAGACCGTGTATCGCTTGATAGTACCCAGACGGCACATGATATCATTTGATTGTAGAATGATATCGTTCTACGTCATTTTCGTGATATCATGTGATATCACATCCCTGAAATATCACACAGATATTCTTCTAAGAATATTAGTACTGTTTTCTTTCAAGTATATCTCAAAGACATCGCTTAATGTATAGGAAATTTGAATGCAGTGTATTACACTCCCGTGATACTCTTATGATATTTTTAAAATATTTATTGATGATATCACAAATCTTTGCACAATATATTTTGCGCGAGATATGAAAATCAATTCTCAAGTTGCAATGTATACATTGCACTGCAATATTTTTATTAAATAATAATTAAAATAAATAATAAACAAAATGTGTACAATAGCTCAAGAATAAGTAGATAAAAACAATTATAATTTAGTAAGAAGCAAGTGGTCTCGAGGACTGAGTGCACGGGCTGCGGATATGGGCTTGCGGAAGTCTCGAGTTCAAATCTCTCACTAATCACCTTAGGATTTTTCAGGTCCGGTCCTTTTCAATGGAGTTCATCGGTTGATCGGCGAGCTGTATCAGGCCTTCAAAAGCTAATTCGAGTGAAATCTCGAAATTCCCCTCATTTTTAAAACTTTTGCAAGAGATATCATTTGCATGTTTTTGATGTGGACATTAGCAATCTCAGGCATATCCCTGAGATATTATTTGAACATCATTACTCGTTCGAAAATGTCTCAACGAGATATCTTTTGCACATTCAAAGTCTCTGTGAGATATCTTCAAGACATCTTAAATACATCATTGTGCCGTCTGGGTAGAGACAAGAACTGCACAAAAATTAAGGAAATAGAAAGAGACTAGAGAGTAGAAATAAGGAGAAGATATGAATGATGGCCCACAAAAACCGTGTAACATCGGTTAAGGGGCACGTAAAAACAAATAACATAAAAAAAAGTCTTACATAAAAATTGAATCAATAACCTGATTTTAATTTCGGATGGAAGCATAATTACCATCGTAATTTTCATAATTTCCTTGTACGGTGTTCAAGCAATAATCGGGTACGATTGTGGATCGTCGTCAGCGAATATAACAACGCTATCTCTCTTAAACATCAAAGAATGTGACATTCCGTTGCCAAATGTGAATACTACCAAAGTTTACGTTCAATAGTTTCAATTGAACGATTTTCAGTCAGTAAAAGTTTCGCAATGCAAGGTCGAAATTGACAGAACAGTCCGGAAGTGTGGAACGGTTTCACACACTATAGAAATGTATAGAATAGCTTACAAATAAGTAGATAAAAGAATTACATTTTAGTAAAAAAACAAGTGGACCGAGTGCAGGGGTTGCGAGTAGGTTGCAGGTTTCGAGATTCAAATTCTACTATCACCTCAGAATTTTTTCCGGGTCCTGGTACCTTTCATCGAGTTAATCAGTTGATCGGCAAACCGAATCAGGCCTCCAAAAATTACTTCGAGTGAAATCCCATTAATTCTTCTCTTACAAGCCATTAGTTTTTTTTTTTTTATATCACCGTAATATTACTGTGATGCATTTTGGCGGACATTTATATATTATTGTGATATTACATTACGGTAATGTTTCTAGTAAGTATATTAAAGTGTAATATTGTATTACGTGCTATGTGGGAGATTTTGAGTGCGCTTAAGGACGTTCTCCGAATTATTGATTTTCTTAGGATTTTCTTTAAATTTGCGATATACATAGTTTATGATCTTATTTATACGTAGCCTTTTTGGATAATAGGGGTAGCAATGTTAAATTCCAAAATATGGAAGATTTATATTTCAATTTTTAACATGAATTTTTTATGCTGAGCCTTTGCGAAGTGAGGTTTTTTAAAATTACTGACGACAATTTTCTTAGGATTTTTTTTAAAAACAAGTATGTGGTAGTGGAGAGTGTCCTAATTAAAATACGATTTTGAATAATATGGTAAGCAACCCATTTTTTCAAACTGTAGCTTTTTTTTGGTTTTTTTTTGTTTTGCTGGATTTATGTGCGCTGTGTACTGCAGCTATTTTTGAACTTCTGCGCAGAGTAAGCGGGTCTTAGCAGTGCTGAATAGCTCACACAAAACTTAACTTTGTTACAGCAGTACAAACTTACTCATGAGAAGAGATATTTTAGGTTGCTAACCACTGTAGTCGGAGAAACCTAGTTCTTAAATAGCTATAAAACTACATTTATCCTGCGCCAATCGTATACGCTTATAAATGTGAATTTTGAATGTGCTTTTAAATTGCTAAAACAAGATGCTGAATTCCAGCATCTGCATTGTTTAGCGCTTTTCAGGCGCTAGTGTGCTACGTGGGTTGCGTCACTTCCCTTGTTATTTGTTTCAGTGAAAAAAAGAAATTCAACATACATGCTGAATCAAATCATCTTTTGTCATCAAAAACTTACCTGGCGAGAGATCCGATGACGCCATCTCGGAGACGAAGTCGCTGAGAGACGAGTACGAAGAGCTGGTGCTGTCAGCACCTTCGGAGTCGGAACCGCTCTCGTCGGTGGGCTGGCTCTCGTGTTCCCGCATCGCTTTCAAAGCATTCGCTAGCGAACTACCGGAATCCCAGACGGGAAAGTAGATTGGTTCGAGATTAGCCGCATACCAGCGCGGCTTGTCGCCGATCTGCGAAGGATCGAACACTCCGGTCTGGACGCGCAGAAACGCCACGTTGCTCGGCGTGAGCGACCACTCGGCCAGGAACTCGACCGCTTGAGTGCGCGCGAACTTGTTGAGAAAGCTGCTCTTCCTAGGTCGCGAGCGCAGGAACGAATTGATCTGGAAGGCTACCACCGGGCGCGGGTACAGACGTAGAGTTCGCGTGTGCTCGGTGAAGTTTGCCAGCAGGTTCTGCGAGTTGAAGAACCGCACCATGGCGACTCGCGTGGCAATGTCCACGGAGTCCACGTCGTTCCCGTAGATGAAGGGATTGAAGGGCGCTGGATTTTGACCCTTTGGCGGCCCGGCCGTTGTCCCGATCGACTGCGACGAAACCGACAACCGTCGAGGCGGACTCGACGACGATGAGCTCGCACTTGGTGTGTTTAAAGTAGGAGTATGTTGAACATGCGTGCAGTGGTCAACGCTCGGTCTGTGCTTCGTCGAAGCCACACTATATAATTGAATTTATTATTCATTACTGCGCGAATGTTGTACTTATAAATTAATTGCAACTATGTGTTTTTATCGCAAAATGAAGATAACTTTACGATCTCTGTTCAATTTAAATTGGTCTGAATTCTATTCATATATTGTTCTCTAATACACATATAATCGCATAGAAAACAAAAATAAATTACAAAAAATAGAACCTTAGACTGGAATGATGCGACGCCACGCTTTCTCTTCTACTTGGCACTTGAAAAGAGAGACGCGACGAGATTTCTTGCGAGGGCACTACGGGACCTGTCATACTGGTCATCGCCTAAAATTATGTTGAAAAAACGATAAATAAAATTGCAAAATTTATGCCGAAATCGTAATCGCAATTGCTAGAGCTCTATTTCCACTATAAAACTGCCTCAGGGGGTGCGCTGGTACCAACTCACACTCCTGAAGTAATGCGCTCGCACATTTCCAGGAGTGTGTGATGAGGCGGGGGGAGGGGTAAAAAAGCGGTGAAAACGTTATGAAACAACATTTCTACCTGATGTCTACTTTTTTTTTTTTTTTTTTAAATAAGTAAGGACTGGAAATTCTTTTATTGTTATTTCTAACTTCCACTTGCTACTCATTTGTGTTCTAACACTTCAGCAAATGTGTGTGTGTGTGTGGCTAGAATCGACTGGACTTTGCTTGTGATAGTTCATGCATGCCACTAGCTACAAAATAAACATTATGCCACCAAGCGGACTGAAAGAATTAGTAAAATATTTACACTGGAGCCAACTTGATCCATCAGTTGCATTGCCTGCGATGAGGGGTAATGAGTTTCATTAAATATATATTTTCCATTATCCTTCGTCATATTATAGTTACACGTAATTCACGAAAGAGTTTACGAGTAACGTCAATCTCGACGTTATTACACTACCTGCTTCAAGTGATTCTTCAGAATAGTGCCCTCCGGTTCTGGCAGCGGCGGCAGACTGTCGTCACCCAGGACATTCGGCGCTGTTATTTTATTGCTATCCAAATCCACCAGCCAGATATCGTCGGGCATCTTGAAGTTCTTTTTGTACAGCAGAAAGGACGCTGGTATGCCAATCACAAAGGGCGTCGGCGCGAGCAGTAGTTGTTCCGCGCAACTCATACACGTGGGCAGCAAAGGTATTGCTGGGAACATGTACTCCAGCGGATAAATCATCGTGACAAATGCCATGACCGACATGGACAGAGCGTTGTAGTCCCGAGATTGAAGTACAATCTAAACAAAAGACATACATTAATATTTAACCTTTGGGATCAGTCGATTTGTTAAGTTACATCATAACTAATTATATTTAAATAATAATCAAATTAAATATATATATAAATTAAAGAAAAGACAAAGCTCCAAATATTTTAAAAAACCAGATGAGAGGCAGTTGGAGCCAAACACAAAAGTGGTCAAATCTGGTTTTTTAAAAATATATAAATATATAGTACGCTATATTTCGATTATTCAATACAAATCGGAAGTGACCGTAGTCTTTCGAAGAGTTAAACCCAGATAGCCAACTGAGTGCAAGTTGTTGGCAACTTGCCACAAATATTGCTCATAAGTTTTCAGCAATGTAACAAAAGAGTGTATCCTCTTTTCAGTATGTTCTTGCCAGCAACAGTTTTCAAAATATAATAACAGCAAGTTCCCAACAACTCATCGGCAATAAACTTATATTATTTTTCTCAACTTATGAATAAAAATCATTGCTCACATATTGCTCACATATTGCTGACTCACTTGTCATAAACATTGGCTACAACAATTGATTGACCATAAAACTCAGCAATTTAAACTGAATTGATAAAAACATTTTTGTTGCATTAAATAAAAACAACACAACAGTAAGTGGCAAGCAACTTCCCTGATAGGAAAACATTTACAAAATTATGTGACGAAATCTTGCACTAAAATTGTAATTTGCAATTGTACAGACATATTTTAGGAAATAAATGTAAAAAACATTGACCTTTTATCAAATATTTGTCACTGTTTGCAACATTACTTTCCAAATACTATTTCGGCAAAAGAATAACGATATGGCGAATCATTGTAGCAGTATATTTGCAAAATTAATTTCATAAAGAAATTGTCCAATAATTGAGAAAAGAAATTCAGCTATGTGATGTTTCAAATATGTAGAAATATAATTGCATATGAAGAAATGCAAGAAATCGTCGTCACTCATGATGTCACATTTGTGCAATATTTTCACAATTTGCCTATTGGAGGTATCGTACTGTGGAAATGCATAACGACTCTTTTCCAATTTTTGACAAATATTATTTACAAAATTTTATTGTGACAAAACTGTTGCATTATGGCGAATCATCTTAGTGCAATCATTGCAAAATCGTCGCCATTCATGATGCCATTTTGGTGCAATATTTTCACAAATGTGCCTATTAGGGTTACTCTATACAATGATTTGCTTTATTCTTTAATTGATTTGCTTTATATTGAGTTTTCACATTTGGCTATCTGGGAATGTGACTCTGTACATCCGAACTGCATTCATAAATACGTTCTTAATTGTTTATTGTTTATTTTTATTGTTTATATTTTTCTTTATTATTTACCTTGTTCTCCAAGAGAATTAGCGTGAGAACTTTCAGACAAATGTCAACGCCGAGAAGTTCTAACGGCAGATGCAATGGAAAGTCGACCAGAGAGAACCTGGTGTGATCTGGCAAGGCGAAGCACAACGGAGGTTGCATACTTGGCGATATTATTTCGACCTCCACGCGTGTTTTCGCCGGAACGGGAACAGGACTGCTGAGCAAACGCAGTATCCACGTCTCGATCTCACGAACGTCGTGAAGCACGATAGACGGTGTGTCTCCTAAAGCCTGACCTGTCAAAACGCTCCACACCGTGTCTCTGTAACAAACAATTTTGTTTAACTGATAGAAAAAAAACTATAGGAATAAAAAAATTAAAATTCAATAAAAAAAGGATTGTCGAATTAGGACATAAGAGCAGACCTGTTTGTCTGCCGAGAAGCTCCCACTTTCTGCGGTGAAAAACTTTCATTGCACGCGTCGATGATCTTTTTTAGAACGAACAGGCACTCCCGGAACATGGAGAAAAAGGGATGATGCGAAATAATGCAGAGTGAAGTCAAGGAATGATTGCGAATTCTCTGTGTAGTAAGAAAGAACAATTAGCTTAATTAACATTCGACTTTCAAAAAGATTTTTATCTATTAACATTAAATAAAATATTTTTATTTGTGTTACTTAATTAAAAACTAATTATATATCAACCTGACGTCTTCGAGAAGCACGTGGCGACGGGGAATGACTGCCACCGCTTTCGCTGTCTCCACTTGGCGCAATAAATTCCAATCTCGGAGCATGTGGGACCTGCGGAGTGTCCGAGTCCCTTCTGCTGCTGGAGCAATCTTTTTCAGAGTCACTAGGACCTACCGCACTGCTCCTATAGTCGCTATAACGAACGGCTAGAGATACAGTCTTATAAAATAAGCATATTATCACATGAAAATTGTGACGCGCACAAATGACAACATTAATTGAACATTGGCCTCCAGAGGAACTGCGTTAATAAAAACAAATAAGAAACTCTGGGAAATTTAGATAGAATTTTGCAAAAGAAAATCAACATAGAATTTTGCAAAAGAAAATCTTATTATACGCCAGTTCACCTAGAAAACGCGGAATCTGTGCTCCTCTCCATGCTCTTCCTCCAGCTTTCTCTGCGAAACGTGGTGTTGTATTTCTCTCTCTTCACCGACATCCCTCCGCCAGCCACAACCCCTGCTCTTTCTATTGGTCGATAAAAATTTACGCAGATTCCGTAACGCGTTCTACCTGCGTGTATATTTTAGAAGATTAGTTTCTTTTTTTTTTTTTTATTCCTCATCGATTTTGGCGAAAAAGTTTTTTTACATAACAATCAGAATAGATATTAACCTGAATCTTTGTCTGTCAATGTGAACGTGAAGGATGTCGCCTCTCGTAAGGCCGTGCGTTTTGGTCCCACACTACTGCAACCTTCTGGTTGGCAGAAGTACACCATATCCAGAGGTAGAGGAAAATCCTTGTGATCCTCCACTGGATATCTGCGTAGCAATTCTGGGATCTTGAACGTAATGAATTACCATAGATTATACCAAAGATTATACGTCACATCAATTTATATATTGAAGAGGAGTTCAGTGAGTGTATATATATATAAACATTTTTCAAACGATTGAGATTAATCCGAGATAACCAAGACTGAATGAGCATATTTTGCAAAGTTTGCAATAACACGTTATGCTAGTAGAATGCGGCCAGCATTCAAACGTAATCTGTTATTTCAACTAAAGTTGACAGAAAAATAGAAAAAAAAAGAGAGAATATAAGTGTCACGCCGTAATGCAAATATTATTGCATCAATAATCAAGCAGAACTTGCTGAAATAAATGTAGCGGATTTGAAGCATAACGTGTTCTTCATTTCCCGAGAAAAAATGGATTAGATCTAACTTAAATTTAACGAGATAAAAAAACATGGAAAAATAGATCTAATTAGATCCAAAGTAAATCTAAATAGATATAAAGTAGATTGAAATAAATATAAGTAGATCTATGTAAATTTACACCCTTACGAAAAAGAACTACTGGCAATAATATATTGCGGCAGTGGTACGAAAAAATTACTGGCATTCTGTGTAATTGCCAGTAATATTCTCAGTGATTCCTGTAATACCTAATAATATTCTTATGTAATTGTCAGTAATATTTATATTACTGACTTTATTTATATGTAATCGGCAGTAGTTCTTTTTCGTAAGGGCACTTTTGTATAATATTAAATGTACTTTAGATCTACTCAGATCTATATCAAAACTACTCAGATTTACTTAGATTTAAACAGATCTGAACAGATCTGAGGTGATCTAATATAATAGATCTGAGTAGATCAAAAGTAGATCTAATAACACATAAAAGCGTAAATTTACATAAATTTACTTTATATTTATTTAGATCTACTTTATATCTATTTAGACTTAATTTTAGATTTAATTAGATCTATTTTTCCATTTTTTTCATCATCGTTAGATTTAAATTAGATTATCTAATCCATTTTTTCTCGGATTGTTTAAATATTTTCGTTGTGTTGCTTTCCTTTGCACATCGTGTCTACACAAAATTCGCTCGTATGAGGACACAGAGCTGAGTGGCGAATCTGCCGCGAAGTGCTGATTAAACCTGCGTGCATATTGCTGGCACGCTGCTATTATTTGTCTATCCGGATAATTTTATATTTCTGATAGATTAATATGCACACAACTTGAATATTCTCAAACGTACCTGTACGGGCTGACGTGAGGCGGCTGGCATCCTGGCCCCGACGATGGCGAGGTAATCCACCAATCGGGGACACAAATATTTTTTCTGTATATCCATGCCTGTGACCTTATGTGTGTCACCGTTGTATACAATGTATACAGAACCGCCAAGCTACTGATTTCTCTTCAGGATCGTTCCCAACTTGAATCATGATTGCGTCATATTCTTTCTTTATTTATTTCTGTAATTATAAAATGGCAGAGAGAGATGTGAATTAATTAACGCTTATATGTCTTTCTCGTATTTTCCGAATATTTTCTCGATTAATTAATAACAATCTTGCCCCACGTGAGGATGACAAGCAGTTTGAATTTATACGAGATGCCCTACTTCTATCTCATTATCTTTAATGATGCTTGGGTTAGCGCGCAATTTTTTATTCTTGAGAGTAGCACCCCGGAGGGACACCATCATTCACATTGACGTGATACATCTTCACCATTAGACGCTATATTAAACTTCAAGTAACACGCTTGAACTCTTACACGTTAAATATAAAAAAAAAATATAAAAAATTCTATAAATATATAAAATGCTAAAGTGTGAATCTTAAAATTAATGTACCATCAAACATTGCAATTGCAGAGTTTTGTCAAATGTGCATTTCGAAAATTAAGATGTGTTTTAACACTTTCAGATGAAACTTAGTGTTGTTACATAAAAAAAACTTAGTTTCTAAAACCGTAGTATAAAAAAAACGATGTGTTGCATGTTGCGAGGTAACGAAGCGAAAAGAAATCACGGAGGACGAAAGGTGAAGGACATTCCGAAGGGACCAGCATCCGAATGAGGATTCAAGAGATCGATTAATCCAAGGGCCCAAAAGAAAATGTGTGTCACCGTGTCGAAGGGACCGGGAGAGGAAAAGACGTGAGGGGTGGTGCATGCGCGGGTGACCGTGCGCGTATTTAATTCAGCGCGGATCGAACCTGCTCTCGTATTTCGCGCCGTGACGCAAGACCGACGACGACGACGACGACGACAAGCGCGACAACAGAAGTCGTGTTCACGAAAAGCCACGTATTTTCGTGGAATTAAATTGCACGACGACGAGCAATTAGCAGCAGGGAACGTACGTAGGTGGTAATGGAAAATAATGAAAATTCGAGAGATTTTGATCCTATTTCTGAACTTTTTTCGGTTTTTTTTTGCTCAGCATTTTTTGAAACTCTCTTCACAAAAATCATAAAAAATAAAACTATGTAATATTTTTTTTTTTTCGTTAAATAAGCAGAATAATTATAGACATTTGAAAGAGAATGCCAACACACATTTTGCAAACTTGTTTTAACGTTTTAAAATCTCAAAATAACGTCAGACTTACGGTTTCCTTTTAGGATATTAAAAAAAAAAAAAAGAACGGATCAAGATTAGGGTTAATCCCTCGAACTCTCTGTCTTCTCCTTATTTCTTTTGAAATCGTACAAAAACGTAAGACTGAATCAGCAAGCGATGTGACCAATCACAGTCGAGCATTTTCGAGCCGTCAAAGAGGCTATATCTCTCAAGAAAAGTGCTATTAGACACTTCGGTTATTGCTTAAGTCTTCAATTTTTTAAACGTTTTTGTTTTGCATGTCCCTGACCCGATTTAAAACCGCGATTTTCGCGAACAAACGTATAATTGCGGCGATTACTTCTTGGAAAAAAAAATCTTTTCTTTATTAAAAGTTTCATAGTTTTAATTTTGCACATATCAGATTTGTGAACCGACTTGATTTCTATAACGAGTTTTACTGATCGAAATATTCGAGATCGATCTGTTCAATCTGAGTGCACGACTTGGGAAAGTCAATTTAAAATTTGAAAGAGTTAATCTAAAACTCATTACTCTCAAGATACTAAAAATCACTGCGTAGTCTCGATTGATCCGGTGAAGCCGGCTATTCTCATTCGTACGTTTCTTCGGTCTCGAAATTTAATCACAGCATTTTTGGCTTCCCAGACGCAAATAATCTCGAAATAAAACCAATTTTGGAACATAAATAAGATAAAACATCTATATACAGGGTGTCCGACAATTAGTGTAAAATCTCTCGGAGGCAAGTAGAGGGAGTAAAACTGAGTCGAAAAGTCCTGAACCATTTTTTTCTATTGCATATAATAAAGGAGTAATTATCGAATAAATCAAGCCAATCAGCGCCGACCTTTAGCCGGGCGCACGTCAGTGAGCCGCGCGGAGCGCTCACGCACACCAGGCGCGTGGTTCACTGACGTGCGTTCGGCTAAAGGTCGGCGCTGTGTGTGATTGGCTTGATTTAGTCAATAATTACTCCTTTATGTAATAAAAAAAAAAACGATTCAGAACTTTTCGACTCAGTTTTGCTTCTTCTACCTGCCTACGAGAGCTGTTAAAGTAATTGTCGGACACCCTGTATATACACATAAGAAGAATCAATACACATGAAGATAGCAATGAACGACATCAATAATATCTCATTTCAAAGACCGAAAGTTGCATTGAGCCGCGGCAAATGACACGTACACCTGCGAACAATCTGTTTCAATAAAACGCACGCCGCACACCGCGCACGTCTTAACTTAGAGAGATTGTGACCGGATCATAATCACTTTGCAACCGCGATAAGTTTTTGAGGAAAAGTCCTATCACAAGTAATAATCCCTCAACCGCCGCACAACTGTTCCATTTTTTTTTTAACCATCAATTGACGTATCGTCTAAATTCGTATATTTATATTGCGAGAAGTCGCGTTGAATTTTTTTTTTTGCGCGAGAAACGGCGCAAAACGAGGGTTGCCTTCTCATCGATCTCGAAACCAACTGCTCTGCTAAAAAAAAAGTAGTTCCATCCAAAGAATATCGCTCGTCGTCTCGCAATGTGATTAATCGCAACGGTAAGACTTCGGTTTTGATCAATTCATAAAAAATCGTATTAAAAACTCGCGGAGAAACAATAAGGTCGATAATTTTACATCGGCGAATGATAATTCCAAACGCAAACCGAATCTCGCCCAGATCTTTGTTTCTTTGTTACACGCGCCAAAGGGACAAAACGATGTCGTTTTTTTTTTTTTTTTGTTTTCCATTTCTTTTTCTTCCTCGACAGATTTTCACGCACTTACGTTTTGCGTTAAAGTTTAATGCGCGTCAACGCGGGGACCAGCCGCGCTTCCTCGTTCGACCGCCATGCGAACGACTGCTGCGCCAAAGCGATATCCCGTATCAGCCGGACGGCGATATCGCACTGACGGCCGACGTTGACGCGCCCCTGAGCCTCGCGCGGCCGTCGCGACGTCGTCGGATCGTTTGCCAGAAACGGTACCAGGCAGGCGCGGAAAGGAACAGTACCGGCACTAGTAGCTCGATTTTTAACTCTTCGTTTAGCAGCGGCTGGATCTGACTCGTATAAATATATTTAAATAATATTCAAATGAATATTTATTTTTTTTTAATAACCCACACGGAACAACATTCTATACAAATCTTCATTAGATGTTCATTGGATGTCACATAGAAATTATAAATGTTCAATGGACGTTATGTCTCTCTACGAATAGAGAGAAAAATAAATATTTAAATATGTATTATACAATATAATATATAATATAATATTTAAATAATATTTATATTAAATAATAATAAATAAAAATATATATTTGCAAAAAAAATGTATTTAGTACGTTATATTTGTTTACGTGGAATGACTTTTGATTATTCAATAGAATATGGATCAGACAGTGACTCAGCCACAGTCTTCTTGGGGACTTAAACTTCCACTACAGCAAATCCCATTTGTATCGAACAAGTTCGTCCGCTTCCTGCTGAATTTGTCCGCGGTCGAAAAATGAGGTGGAAATTCCGAGAGCTTTTAATTAAGAGGATTATCTTGGGTGTCGGGTCGATACTGTTTTTTTTTTTTTTTTCTGTTTTGCAGAAGAGAGATACAGAACATATTAGAGATTGTATTGATTTTTCATATGAAATATATTATACAATAAATAAAGTGCAATTTAACACACGCGTGTAAAATGTAGAACAAATTTATTTTAATAAACGTTCATGTTTTATACACAAGATCGCGATATCTCTCAATTTTTCTTTCTCCGTTTTAAGTAATTTTGCTTCTTGATTCGCCCGATTAAAGAATATTTCCAGAGGGATCGCTTTTTTTTTTTTTATATCTTACATTAAAATTCAATTCAACGTCAGCAAAAAGGATAAAAATAAGTATCAGGTACACAGAGCAGATCCGTGAGGAGTTCGAAATTTTAATATCGCCGCGATACGACTTAAGCTCTCCAATTATAAAAGCTTACAGATAATAAGCTCTTCAGATCATCAGAATCACGTTTCTCGTGGCCCGGTTGGCGTACACGCGCGGCGTCACCACGTTTGGATCAATAACGTCCGTCAGGTTCAGCTGAATGTCTGGGGGATACGTGGAGGGAGACGGCGGGACATGTATGAGGGTGAGAGGAGCGAGACCCAGAACCTTGCGGCGTTGATTAGGTCGGCCAGCTTGTACTATATATGCGACTGACCTCGACGTGGCGAGGGACAAGAGTGGCCTCGATAAGGGCGCTTCTCTGTCTCGGTTCTTGTCCGAAATTCTAACGTGGAAATCTGTCACGAGAAGGTCATCGTAGAAGTGACCCCGTTTTTTTTTAAACCCGCAGTTATGCTAATAACGCTGACAAATGATAATCCGCTCTTGTTTTGTTGCAACAAATGAGTTTGACTTACTTTTGATTCACAAAACTATTTTTTTTTTTTTTTAAGATATAAAATAGAAAAGATCTTATATAATTAAAATTAAATTAAATAGGTAGTAAGCGAGCAGATATAAGGTGTAAGCTTCTTATATTTTGAAAGTGTAGTTTTACAGAATGCGAAACGTTTCGAGCTCTGACTAGAGTCATCTTCAGTCGCATACAATTACTATAAATAAAATACATAAATTTAAAAAAGATCTGTCATTAAGTTAAAAGAACAAGAGTTCGCGTATATAAAAACATGAAATATAAACAGAAAGAAAAATTCATACTTCAATATATAAATACATAATCGTGTTGTGTGTTATGAAAAAAACAAATTACGCACCGCACACATACATGTTGTAAACATGATTCTTAAGAAAGACGAAAAACAGACAAGAGACAACAATTTATATATTATTCCCCACTCTGCGTAACATTGTGAAGAGAGGGAGAACCGTTGTATTTAAAAACGTTTCTTGATCTCATCTAAGATAAAAGAATACGAATTGTCAAGTAAGTGTCATTAATTAGAAGCTTACACCTTATCTGCTCGCTTACTACCTATTTAATTTACTTTTTGTTGTATAATACGAGCGTTCTACACATTGTTATCTTATGTAATTCTTCTAATTTCTTCGAGCAGATGTATTTTATAGTAATTTTGATAAAGTAATTTTGAAATAGGGTTTTTTTCAGATAAAAGAAAACATCCACTCACTCACTTACTCTGTCTCTCTCTCTCTCCCCCTCCCCCTCTTTCTCAAAAAGACATTCATTGTTTTCACGTTTGTATAAATTTTATTAAATATATATGTTTTGAATTATATAAATTATAATAAATATTACGATCACTGAGAGATATAGAAGTATATTAGTATCTATATTTGCAAAATTATCTTACGTTGTATGTGTATGAACACCACAGATTAGGTCGTAAAAGATACGAATGATATCAAACATTCCTAAAACAAAGAAATGTTTAATTGTTTTGTTAATAAGATCTTTTATCTTTGTGACGGACAAATACAAATTGTTTTTTCGTGTGCACGCTATATCCCATTAATATACTTCATTCATAAAAGAACTAAAATCTACAATTAATATTTGCGCGTCATACTGTAGTGTTCATTTTTGTTAATTAACATATTCAATGATTCACTTCTGCATCACATACTAAAATATACAAAACGACAAACTTACTTATGCGTGTAAAATCTTACGAGATATTGTTTTAATTAATAAAAAAAAAAAAAATACTGCTTTTCTATACTGTCACGTTTTTTAAACAAATATAAGCTGTGTAAAGTAGAGATTTTTTTTTTTTATACAAATCTTACGAGATATGAAATATACAATTCAAAATGAAAGTCAATTTGACTTTTATCATAAGTATCTCCAGTGTTAGATTTTGCATATTGCACGAAACATCTGTGTGTGTGTGTACGCACAATAAACGCTACAGTGTGATGTATAATCTTTTTGTGTTATATATACTGTTTTAAGTAATAATCTACTGTTTAAGCAATAACGAACTTAACAATCGCAAACCCAACAGAAAATGGTTTGACTTGTAAATGCAGAACTCTTTGACAACACATATTGTTACGTCGATTACACAATTATAACATCGTTGTTTCGCTAAATGCGCAATTTGTTCTAACAATTTTTAGCGCACTTTGTACTGTCAATTACCTCACACGTTTGTTCGCATATTGTTGTGTAAGTGTACATGTTGTATATAGAAAACAATATACAAAGTGTTGCGCATACAAAAAGAAGAATACAAGGGACATTTTTTACGTCTACGGGCGAGCACCGCACGCAGGAATTAATACATCATGCATTCGCGCAAGGCATGAGACAGATAAATCATTCCCTCGTGCATATCGCTACATACATATGTCAATAATCCGCTCGAGCGGATATTGAACGATAATCTCACAATAATCGGCCCCCCCTCCCGGTCGCGATTGCTCGAAGTTGTGGCCGTGTGTGGCTAATTAACAATTAGCATTAACGCTAATATCAGAGGTCAACGGTCGTGGAATCGTGGTCTTCCTCGTCTAACAGCGGCTCCTCCTCCACCATCATGTGCACTGCGAACAAAACTCGTCATGCATACCAACGAATACAAAACATCGACACATATATTCTAATGCACCTTATCACGTCTTTGATAAAGTCGTTTTAAACGCGTTATGTTTTTGTCACTAGAGCGGTATACTTGAGTCATTTCTTTTATATACGTGTTCTCGCGAAAAAAAAAACAAAAATCCAAGCAGCAGGCAGAAAATCATGCGGACATAATTTAAAATATCTAATATAAAATATATAATATATATATATATATATATATATATATATATATATAAATAAGTTGTACACAAATAAAAATTTCAAAGAAACACTTTACATTACACACTATAAAGCATTCGCAATAAAACATTAATCGGAATGTAAAAAGCTTTGTTAAAAAACAAACTTGAAAGACTATATCACTATGTGATATATAATAATTTATACTTCACCGCTACTCTCTTGTTATTCCAAAATAGGCACAAAACGGTCTAATAGCGCATGCAAAAAGATGTGCATCAGCAAGAGATGCAACATGCAAGAGATTAGTACTTCATATGGAATGTGCATCATAAAAAATGTCTACTAGGTAATGAGCATCTTGGGTTTTAGTGTAATCGCTCTATTAATCAATCGATTCTAATACAAAAATCCAATCCTCTAATACACAAAGTTTCAAAAACTCGTCTCGCGTTACAACTCAAGAAACATTTGCGCGAGCAAGGACTCGATTAGATTAAACAAAGCGACGGATCTAAAGCATGCACGTAAAAACTCTCGGTATACATATCTGAAATAATATTTTTATAAACTTCTCTTATATCTACTATTTGCGCGAAGCATATCATCCACAAGTGTAAAAAAATTGTTTTACTTTTTTTTTTAACATAAAATTTTTTCTAAACATTAAATACACAAATACACATGTATTAGCGTTTGTCAAAAACATAAACTTGAATCTATTATTTCGAAAAAAACTTTCGACTGGTTAAATTATAATGACAACTAGCGTGTTATAATAAACTCATTTTATCCAGACAATATAATACAGTTCACAGAAACAAAAGCTCGACATACAGTACAGTTCACGCGACAGAATTACAATTTTATTTTTTGTAACGCAGGTTCCATTTTCTTAAAAAAAAAAAAAAACACGATAAGTTAAACCATTATGTTATCTATTTTTATAATATAATGCTATTTGTTTTTATACACAATGAAATACAAAACAATTCTAATATACTGTGACTTTCAAATAAAAGCTACATTTAATTTATTTTGTTAATGTGAAGATCCATTTTTTTTTTTATCTTTTTGGAGTTAGACAAACATTCCTTTAAGAATAATACGACAGAGACAGACTTGCGAATGTTTCGTACGTCTACATTCTATTATTACAAGTTTTTTTTTTTTTTTTTTTTGTAATAAATTAATTCAATTTTATAAAACTTTGATTACTCGACATTTATATCTATATATGCACATATACAAAAGGACTATTATTTTAATAATAATTGTACACATGTAATATATATTAAATATACAAATAATAATTAAGCGTGTATCTGCCATTTGCTTGTGTAACGTTTTGTGTAAAATGTATAGGTTTTTGTAGAAAGTATATTTAAAATATATATTTATATACGCGCCTCTCTTTCTTTCTCTCTCTCTCTCTCTCTCTCGAAAAACGTGTAACACTTAGTAAATCTTGTAATAAAATGTTTATCTTAATCGTATATATCTATTGTCTTACGGCGATGTAAACAAACGTACCTAATGCAAAACCGTAATTGTTTTTTAGCCTCTTCGTGACTTGACGTATCTCACAAAATTCAAATTGATTGCATTATCGTTAATGAACTTTCCCTATCTTCATTAAACTTTCAAACACACGCAGAAAAACTGAAAACTTTCATAACACATTCCACGCTATAGAGAACTCTCTGTACACATTTTCAAATAAAAAAAAAACTTAACGCGTTTACAACAGTTTATTATATAGATAAGAAACATATGACATTTGAACAAAATAATTGCAAATTCTTCTTGAATATTTTAGAAAATTTGTTAAGAAGTGAAAATAAATTCGAACAAATGTAGAAACAAAGTCGATAAGAGCTCATTGCAAAATAGTGCACGCATGAATATACTCGAGCGTATTTATAAGACAGTTGGAGAAACGCAATGTTATATTCGCGCATACGCTATTTAGCTCTCTATCAGCTTTTTTTTTTTTTTATTTTTTTTTTTATCTCAGAATTTCTATCTTTATTGTATCTTTACGTCTACACTTTTATTTTATTTTTTATTTTCATCTTTATTTTAACTTGAAGATTTTAGTTTTAAAGAGTCTTATTTGTCTGTTTCGGTTCTTATACAAAAATTTCGCAAATTCAATTTATTTAATATTTATTTATATATGAACATTCGCATAAATCTCATAAAAGGAAACACATAATATATATATATATATATAATTGATTTACTTGGAAAAAGCGTTATCTTAGATATTAATTGTCGAAAAAAAGTCTACTTTATTTCTGAACGAATAAGAGATTTTTGGGTTTGTGATGTATACTTTTTACTATATTATAATAAATATTCAAATTATATCAACAAATGTATCGGGATCAGGCAAATCATCAGATATTAAAAATTTTTTAATGCAAATTACGTATCAAGCATTCTTGTACAGACTTTTATAAATACGTGTCTCTCTCTCTCTCCCTCTTGTCGATCACTAGATATATCACTCTCTTTTATAAGTATGGAGCAAGTGCCGTTTTCCGTAATACGATTGTACAGCGCTCCTTTCCTTTGTGTTTACACAGTATGTCTTATTAGAAGTTCACAATTGTAATATAGTCAGTTCTCAACTGAGGTTTTAGTTTACAAATATGTATATACGCTAGTCTGAAACTATAAATCATAAAGTGATAATAAATGAACTGTATTATTCGAATATATTAACATATATTATTTACACACACGAAAATTCTCTCGCATTTATGTACTTTGTTTTACAATTTACGGATTTCTTTATACATTCGTCAGACGAATCATACAGAGCATTCATTATCACTAGTCGATCCTAATGATGTTTCTTATGCAATCTGTTACGTTGTGACCTATTAGTACCATTTTTCTCAGCGTTGGACACCTGGATAGTGCTCGTCTGGTTGCACGGTATCCTGAACAGCTTGATTTTCATGTGATCGCATATCTCAAGACACACTTGAGCGCTGTACCGTAAGAGATCCAGAGTAACCCAGATCTAAATACACGAATATGCCATTATTTGTTGAACTGAATAATGTAAGTATCATAAAAGACCATTCCGTTAAACGTGTAACATGCAAAAAAAAACTTACGAAACACAGCCAAAGAACATAATATTCTTTGATGAAGAAATTGAAATATTGATTAAGGAATAACATGGCCGGGCCGATTAACGAACTGTCCAGATATTGCATTTCGTTCTTAGTCATATGAGCAACCTGTAATGTAACAACGTGACAACGTGATTGTTATTCGTGTGTTGAAGAAAAGGTGAACATCTCAATATACGTACCACTAATCTATTGGTAACTTTAGCGGCGACCATTCCAAATGCAAGTATGTACAGAGCCGGATGATTTTCATAGACGTGCTCAGCACTTTTCCTATATATTATAAAAGCTGGAACTATCACGAAACTAAACGGTATAATTGGCGACAAAACGGATGTTCCCTGAAACAAAGTTGACTTTATGTGGAAACACTGAAGAAAAGTTAACATGTGCAAGATTATTATCATTTTTTTTTCACAAGAAAAGATGATGGGAGCATATATTAATTAAGTGCAAGTCTGATTAAAAATATGTCTCAAAGTTTTTTAACACAACAAAATAGTGTTTGTATGATAAATGTGTTACTTTTTATTTAATGACGATATATATAGATATTAATAGATGCGAAAATATAATATAATTGAAAAACATACGCAATGGATTCTTTTTTTATTTTATGCTCGCAAAAACTTGTGAAACTACTACTACTACTACTACTTTAAAAGTAGTGTAGCCTAGATAGAGCTATTTATAACTTATAATTATGTTGTGCATTCAACAAGAAAAGTGCGTATAAATATAAAATAGAAAAAAGATATATGAACAATATTATATGAAATATATAAACATTGAGTTTGCAATATAAATGGTCGAATATGTAATAAACAAATCGTTAATAAATAAATCTATTAAGTCTTTTAATAATTACCATAACTAAGTATTATAATTATTTGAAAAAGAAGAATTTTTTTATATAATTAATATCACGATATACAAAAACTATTAGCTTTATCTGATGCATGCGTTATACACACATTCTAAAATTGCACAAAGTAAGACTCGCAATACCACGAAACACTACGTTATATTAATGCAAGATGATGCCATTTGTAGCATGTAAGCTTAATATACATAGCACTTTGTTTCATAAATATATTACTTTCTCTAGTACTCAGCTTCATTAATACGCATGCAAACAATCGGTCTGGAAATAAAACATCTAATAAATCAAGATGAGAAAAAAATATTCAACTACTATTAGATGAAGAAGGAAGCGAGAGGTCGGGGATGTACATGGACTTTTCTGTGATGAAGAACACGATGTAATGCAAAATTACGTAAAAGAATGAAAAAAATCATAACGTGATGAGTTAACTTAACACAAATAACGCTGTTAAAAGATTTAGGCCCACCGAATCTATAGAAATAAAAATTCTTTTCGAGTCGTTATCAATCCGTCATGTGTTATAGCAACAAGATATAAAATAACATTATTAAATTTATTGTAAATTAAATGAACTATGTTACTCCCAAGCGTTGTGTGTATAAAACTTATATCGTCTAAAAACACATCTTAAAACAATCTAAGAACAAATCAAACGTTGGAAGTGAGGAAACATGGGCCTAAATCACGAATTAAAAACGAAAAGTGCACTACAAAATGGTCCCACTACTTTTTTTTCGACTGACTTACTGCGACGGTGGAGCCATTTTTTCCGACACCACCGGCGAGAATGACGGATATGCTGCTTTGTGCAAGTAAAATAGCGATGCCCACAGCAGCCCATAACGGAAACACCTTCACCTCTGTGCCAGTGTATGGCAACTGTGTAAAGCGACACGAAAGACCTTTTGATTAGTCATCAGATCCTCGTTTATCGGAGGACTTTTTTATTATATGCTCTGTATATTCTTGATACGTTAGTATAGTCCATAAGTGATCGTCAAGTTACTAATCGGGAATAAGTTATTTGCTTTTGAAACAATTTCGTTTTTCTTTTTCTGCCACCTTATTTTTAATCACAACTTGTAATGTAAACACAGAACCAGATGTATTACAATCTTGCATATATATATATATATATTAAAAACTATCGTATTCTCTTTATGTTACTTGAAACAAAAATTCATAGCTAGATCATTTTAATATACTTTCTTTTGTTATATTTTATGGCTTCTGATTACAACGTGTATTCGCTCCGTAGCCTTTGTATAGCGATGCAATTTGTTATCTAAGAAGTCTAATTTGTAAAGAACTAATACTCATAAAAAGTTTAAATTAAACAATGATACAAAAAGTAATGTTTACAACTTTGCAATTAAAAAGAAAGAAACACTTCCCTGAAAAAAAAAAAAACAAAAAAAGAAAGATTTAGATTTTTATGTCTATAAAAATTTTTTTAAATTTCAAAATTGTGAGCAAGGTTTGCCATTATTCTATAATCATACAAAATTCACAATCAGTGCAAAGAACATATACATGGTGAGAACGGAAGATCTGATTTCGATCAAAAAAAAAAAAAAAAAAAAAAAAAGAGAAACTTCGAAGAAGTTTTAGTGTTTAAACACACTATCACTCTGTGCTGCATCTGAACGTAACGTATATTGCTACCTTCTTGTTTTATACAGGCTGTGATATGCATATTACGTGTCTTTGCAGGCATCGCTAGTCTAAAAAAAAAAAAAAACTATATTTAGCAAAATTGTAATAAAAAAAAAAAAATCATACACACATAAACAGTTCTTCTTGCCTGAAAATATTTTAGATATATATTCATTTCATTAAAAAATATCGTGGCATTATAAAACTCACATATGAGTGTGTGTGTATATATATGTATATGTATAGAGCGTCCGACAATTACTTTAGCATCTCTCGAAGGCAAGTAGGAGTCGTGAACCATTTTTTTTCTATTACATATAATAAAAGGAGTAATTATTGAATAAATCAAGCCAATCAGCAAGCCGATCTTCAGCCGAACGCACGTCAGTGAACCACGCGCCTGGTGTGCGTGAGCGCTCCGCGCGGCTCACTGACGTGCGCCCGGCTAAAGGTCGGCGCTGATTGGCTTGATTTATTCGATAATTACTCCTTTATTATATGCAATAGAAAAAAATGGTTCAGGACTTTTCGACTCAGTTTTACTCCTCCTACTTGCCTCCGAGAGATTTTACATGTAATTGTCGGACACCCTGTATATTAAATATATATTAAATACAAAAAATGTGAAAAATACTTTATATAAATAAAAGTGAATAAATTTAACACACATATTTCAATAACTAAAATTAGTTTTAGTCGATGTAAGTTTTTTGCACTTCTGACATAAATTATACTGTACAACATATTTAAAATTATTGTCTTGCTTTTCATTGTGAGGAAAAAAAAAACATGGTACAAAAAATAAATCACCCTTCTTCGCTAAGGAACAAAAAGGGTGTTGCCTAGTGTTACCTGGAAATTGTTATGAAGCTTAAAAATTAGATTAAAAAAAGCGCTTATATATAAAATTGTGCAAAATAGTAGTCTTATCACTCTGGTGGTTTAAGATGCAAGTGGCATACACTGGCGTTTAGTAAATCCGTACAACTGTGATGTAAGTTTTCCCAGTAGAAGAGAGAAGACAGCAAGCAACAAGAGAAAAATATAAAAAATAACAAATTTTTCTACTGTACAGAAAGTGGAAGAAATATACGAGAGAAGTATTATTAAAACGTCGCTCTATACGCGACAACGGCAGGTTCTTGTTGAGAACTTACTGCAATTGTGGAACCGTTTTTTCCAATCCCACCGGATTCAAAGACTCTACAGAATTCAAGGAACACGTGAATGAAGCCTGCATAAAAGATCACTGCTACGTAGTTATTGAGCGTGCCTAGACCAAGCACGGGGATCTAAACAAAGGCACAACATATCTTCGTTCGTGATGAGGATTGCTCGTTTATAAATTGTTTCTTACGTGTACGTATATACCTATGTAATATAAACTCTTTTTTTTAGTTGTATATATCTTTTCTTTTTTTTAGTTCTATATATCTTTCTTAGTATAGTCACTGCCGCCGTCGGATGGGCTTAAAGTTCAATCTGTGGTTCGTATTTCACTGCATATGTATGATATAGCATACGTGTATACGCTTGCTTGTTGGTCGTGATTTGCACGATAAAACTGCAAGATCATCGAACACGTGGGAGCAGCTTAGAAGAACATCGTGAAAAACAAATGTTAAAGTATACCTCTCACATAGTTGTTATGATAAAGTAGTTCTCTTTACATTTGCCAAGACTGCAGAATTCTTCATTGTATACGGACGCTTTTTTTTTTCTCAGAAGCATCATAAAAAAAAATATATACACACTGGTTGTATTACATGCTCTGTGAGTCATTTGAGTAATAAACGTTTACGTGTACAAAATTTATAATAAGATTTCTACCAGACTTAGGGTTAGAATTTCTGCTTTATAAATCTTAAATTTGAAATTGTTTCAAAAGAGCATTGTGTGTAATGCATTTTGTAAAATTGATTAATTGCAATTATCAACTTTTAATCGTTAATGTAACATCCGTAGACATACTGGAAAGCTATTTATATTAATTTTTTTTTTTAACGTTGTCTACATAGTACAAAATAATATTTTTTTTTGCATTAAATCAAGCCACTAGCTATGTGTGCTAAAAAACTTGAGGAACGCGAATTTGTATATATTAAAATTATCGGTCATAAAATGGCACATACAACTTGTTATGAAAATGTAGGAATATCGAAGACAAGGGTGTAGGGGAGGATTGTTATTTACTGAAGGAAGATACGAAGATGGAAAAAATGCGTGTTAAAAATCAGTATTAAATATTTTGCAGTAAAGAAGTAATCTCAGCGCCGCTCCTCATGCCATGCTGCTCCCATTTCTGCATGTTCAATAAAAACAAATTTAATTAACGAACTTACAGCCACAGTGGAACCATTCTTGCCCACTCCTCCGGTGAAAATCACCGAAAATATGGAATACAAATTTGCCAGTGCACACACCACTGTCATAACTCCTAATAAATACTTTAACATAAAACCATCTAAGAATGGTATCTGTAAAAAATAGCTTCATTAAACCACGTAACGTTTGTCTCATTGCAAGAACAAGATATAGTTTTTTTTTTTTTTTATAAGAATCAGTTTCTGCAGTTCAAATGCAGTCCAAATGCATTTCCAAGATACATTGTATCCTTTATTTTATATAGATCTTAAAAAATAAATAGTTGAAAAATGTAAATTATGAAAAAAAAGAACACATTTGGAGAAAAGACATAAAGATCTTGTAAAAAAACGCGCACTTTTCATTCCTCCTTATTGTAAATTTTATAAAATATAAATATAGTGATCATTTACTGTGTGTATGTGTGTTTGATAAAAGATATCAGACACATGTATATACAATAATTGTGAAGAATGTTTGCGCACATGTGATAAAAAAACTTTTATCTTTGGCAGTATACGACATTAATATATGTGCTTCTGTAAACTATTGAGATTACTTACCACATAAAACCTACAGAACTCATAATATACGCAGAGATTTCGTTTAAAAAAATGTATATATTTATAAAAACAACGAAAAAATAATAAGTGTTAGAGAAATATATTTATAAAAATGTATTTATAAATTTATAAAAATAATAAAATATATTTATAAAAATAATAAATGTGTAAACAATACACGTGTAACAAATAATTTTGTCTGTATGAAAGACGTCACATTTATAAAAATAATAAATGTTATAGAGAAATATATTTTAATTTACCTGTGCTTATATTATGAGTTACACTGTTTAAATGTGGAAAGATATCAGACTATCTATTTTTACAAAATAAAAATAATATAGACATGAATAATTAGAGGAATATCTTGCATGAGCATGAATTATATGTGCATAAGACAATCACGACACAAAGTGATTACATTAAAGACACACTAAATAAAAATTGTAATAATTGTATATAATTGCTTTATAAAACATTTAGAACAAATATCGCTTGATATATCAATTTAGCTGTGTAAATGCTATTTACAGTAGAGTCTGAATAATCCGAAAGAGGTGTGTGTTCTATTGTTGAAGTATATTTTGTTAGCATTTTTATTGCGAACCTGTATTCTATATATGTAACAATGTACAGTTAGTCTACTGTATGTTTTTTTACCAACTGCTACACAAGATATTCTGGGGTACGTGATGCATGTGTTTGTTAAAAAGCATATAATAAAAAAAAAAAAAATGATACAACCTCCATCATCCAGATCTCTGGGCCAAAGATTGCAGAGATCATGTGAATTCCTATGATAGTAAACTGTGCTTCTGTCACATCCACTTTACCAAATCTCAAAGAACCTGTTGCAAAGAGATGTTCATTACAACAGAGCATACTTATGTACAAAAATTTTAAATAACTATTATTATTGTTTTTGAAATAATTTTTGTTTACCGGAAACGTAGGTCTGCCAATGAGCACAGTAGAACAGCGTCATCGCGCAGAAGCATTGAAAAAACATCCACGTTGGATAGTATCCAAGCTGAACCGCTATACAAGCCGACAACGCAACAAATACTGAAAAAATAAAACACAAAATATATATATATTACTTATAAATAAATAATACTTAAATATTACTTATTCAAATAATTTTTAGTTGAAAGCAGTGAAGCAATATTATTTACCTGTTGATATTGAATCACATCCATGATCAAACAGTTCACCCAATGGTGTAGATGTACCAGTTCTCCTGGCTTGTTTACCATCAATAGCATCTAAACTCTGATATATAAATAGACCAAGGGCACATAAAAAACAAGCCCATCTAGGTGCCTAAAATATAAAATACTACAGATAATCAATTTGTTACCATAATTCTAAAACTTCTAAATAGTTATGTCAATAAAAAAAAAATAAACAAAACAAAACAAACATATCATAAATAGCCTATCATCATAAATAGCTTATCACTGTTATATATTTTTCTACATGTTTATGATAAGGATGATAAAACTTCAAATAATAACATAACAGAGTTATATAAGCAAACTACTAATAGATCGCATCACTACTATAATTGATGAATCATTATTATATTCATATTTTGCATATTTGCTGACATCAATCTTATCTCAACTTTACCTGTAAACACTATTATAAAAACTTGTTCTGTCCTACTTGAAAACTCAAAAGCAACACAGTTTGGTAAAATGTTCAAACTATGATATTACAAACGGTTTTTTATCAGAAAAAAGAAAAACTTTTTTATCAAAGTTAACTGAGAACAAGAAAAACTATTATAAAAATATAAACATATTATACATACACAGCGCTCTTGACATTTGATGTAATAAATGTTAAGTAAACGTATTGAGTGTTAAAAACACATAAAGAAAATTCTTGGAAATATTGAAAATATCAAAATAGGAATGTGTTGACAGCATAACAGATCTTGCCCACCAAACAACAGGACGCTTCAAGCAACTAAAGGCCGAGCAGCCTACCTCGGCCCTTGCGTCCGGACTGTAGTAGACAAGGATCAGGGTAGTAACTATATTGACGATAAGTCCGAGCACGGTGATTAGATTGGGTGCGAGCCAGAGCGGCACTTTGCTGACCAACCAGTCCCACCAGGGCTGCAGAAGACCGTCTAGAAGACTATTGCTCGTGCAGCTGTACTTGTGCTCGCTCAACCGTTTCAGCTGGCCAGGCGACAGCAGTTTCTCCTTGTAGAATTGCATGATGCGAAACACGGTTGAGAATCGCGAAAACGAAAAAACCTCGCAATCTCCTGAAGAATATTCTTTGAAAGATTGCGAGAAAACACGACGACACAAACCACTTCACTGACTCCCACGTGGCGACCACTGCCGAACGCTATTTCACCGAACACCTGCGGTGAAAGTGGCAAAATGTTCAAACATAACAATCAATCGTCGAACAGCCACCGACGATCTACGACATCTCTGAGAGTCTACCCGTTTCTTCTGCGCGCTTTGCTGCTTACGCCGGAAACCGATCACCGCTGTATACGCATCACCGGAACTGTCGGGCCGTGCGTCCAATACGCAGTCGCACGATGTAAGAAGGCGTAATCATTCCCAAGACGCGCGGTGTTTGACCAATCAGATAGTTGCCTCAAACTATTGTAGAACAGAAAGTTGACGTGGACTGAACGTCTTTTAATTCTAAAATAAATTTAAAATAATTTTTAATAACATAAATTTTTATAACTCTTGGAAGTTTGTTAATCCAATTTTACAGTAAAAGCTCCAGGGTCTTTGTATGCAAAATTTCACTCATTTTTTATAGGCGATTTTTGGCGATCGTATGGTACGTATACCAAAGTGTACCAAACTATAGTTCGAGTGACTTCAAATTATAGTTTGGTACACTTTGGTANATGTACCATACGATCGCCAAAAATCGCCTATTATTGTGAGCGGTATAACCATTTTTTATACTGAACGTTTAATCAGAGAGAAGGGCTGCGTTCCGTTTCACGCATATGCGCGCATGTATCTATAGTACACGTCACGTATAGTATAGATAAATCCGCGCATATGCGTGAAACGGAACGCAGCTAAGAACGAGAGCGACCAGGGGCCCGATTCTCTAACTCACTCGTAAGAGAAACGTATGCGCAAACTCAAAGTTACGAGCGCTTAAATATAGAAAACCTATAGGAAAGTGTTCGTAACTTTGAGTTTGCGCATACGTTTCTCTTACGAGTGAGTTAGAGAATCGGGCCCCAGCACCTCGATTATTGAACAATTTGCGTATACAAAAGTCTATAGTACGTGTGACATCGACAGTAGAGTTTCGTATACGAAAGTTTTTCAAGAATTAAGGTCCGTAACGCCCGGTTTCCATCATCTCCGATTAACTCAGGCTGCGTTCGGGGAGCGCGCTATCAGCGCTATCGCGTCACTCTATCGCGTCCTTGTTTTACATCTAATGAGCAATAAAGACAGAATGATGCAACAGCGCTGATAGCGCGCTTCCCGAAGCGCAGCCTTAATCGGCCGATTATTCCATTGCCAGTTGTGCTAATCGTTTGGCAGAATGGACCAATCACGACTGATACTTAATTGCCGATTAAGTTAATCGGAGATGGTGAAAACGGGCGTTAAGAGTTTTTACGATCGCTTTTCCGCCAGGGCCACCAAACTGCCATATAAATTCTATGGGACCCAGTGGTACCAGCATTTGTGGCGCTCTCTGAAATATCGCGTTGGTAAAATGGAACTAAATTCCAACATGGCGTCCAGTGTTACACACACA